AAAAGCAGTCTGTCAAAATGATTTGTTGAGAAATACTGAAATTTTCAAAGAGATCTTCGCACTAGTAGTATATTCTAAAATGTGAAGAATACAACCTCGGTGGTATAAAATGACCCCAGGGCGTATTGATAGCGTTAAAGACAAACAAACCTCGAGAGTGGAGTTCTTGAGCAGAGCCTGCGCCATTTCCTTGCAGCCGTCCAGGTAGAAGCCGTTCCAGGACACGTCCAGGTACTTGATGGCGCTGTTCATCGTCAGCGCATGCGCAACGGCCTTGGCACCTTTGTTCCTCAGGTGGTTCCAGCTCAACTCCAGCTTCTCTATAGAGTCGTTCCAACCTGAGGAAAAATGGGGCTTTTTTGTTGTTTTCTTAATTTGTTTTAAATGTAGTTGTTTTTACACTCCCATAAACACAATTTAGATCAATTAGGAGTAGGGCTTCAGACCCTGCCTTTCAGGATCTGCCCGGGTTGAGAGGATTAAAACAAACATCTCAGAAAAAAGACCAAGATACTTGATAAAAATTATCCGACCCCCCTCCGGAATCAAACTCAGGTTTCCTGCGTGCAATAGCGAATCGCCTAACCGCTACTCCACAGACGCAGGCCAAGTTGAGGACCAATGCTTGTGTCTTCAACCATTCTAATTGTAACGGCTTTTAATCCATTTTAAATTTCGGATGGAAAGAGACGTAAAACAACGACATATCCTACCTAAACACTCCCCTAGCGCCATGCCTCCCTCTTCCCGGAAACAGTTGTGGTTGAGCTTGAGCACCCGGAGATTTCTCGTCTCCTGGACAGAAAAAATGGATAAAAAACCAACGTGTATAAAGTCTTTGGTTGGATGTAAATGTAGCCGAACCTGCTCTAACGACCACCTGCATTAGACAACAATACGTGCAGAAGACCACTTCTCACTCACTCCCTTATATATGTAAGTAATTTTAAAGTTTTCTTATATAATTTGACTCTGTCTAAGTCGTCCACCTGTCTACCTTAATCGATTCTCCTCCTGCACAATTTTCCGTCTTGGGCGATTGCTGCTGCATTTTAAAAACCTCGTTTACAGAATTCAGAGTCAGTGCACACACACACACACACACACACACACACAC